ACTGGGCTTGTGATTGGCAACCTGGATTTCAGAGAGATCTTCCTTGAGGATGAGTGGAGTCCAGCCCATCAGCTCCACAGAATAGGTGTATCCTTCTATAGACTAGCAAAGATGTTATGCTAGGTCAGTCTTTTGGTCTGGTTCCTATTGGCCTAAAGGAATTTTATACACGGTCACTGCTTAATTTGTGCCAGAGCCTGTCAAGGCTGAGTCCTAGCACTTCTAGGTCTGGCAGTTCAAGGCCCTGGTACCTCTGGACATGCCGTGACAATTATGGAAGTAAAAAAATTGTTTTAGTCCTGATGCCTCATTACTTGAGCACTAGCACTTCTTCCATTACAAATTAAACCTCAAGCAGTGTAAAAAGGCCTGAAAGTGGGTGTAAATAACCAAAGCAGTGTAAAACAGCCTTAGTGTAAATGAAAATCAGGCCCATTAGTGATGTGTCCTGTGATGAGTGAATTTATTTCCTCCTTTATTTAAACAGAGAATAAGCTGGGACTGCCCCCGTGTTAAAGAAAAGGAACTGATTCTCTGTGCAGGTCCGTTGACTCTGGAATTCACTTCCCGGCTTAGTCCATCTGACCCTTGATGTATAATCTTTCTTGACATGCTAAAAGGTCTATATCTTTTCCAGGGCTTTGATGGCTACTAGGATAATGGCAGATCCTGGGATTATGACTGGTTTTCTTAATGGATAATTTTAAGCAGCCTGTTAGAGACTGTATTCACTTTTTCGTAAAAGGGATGTAAATTAGACGTATCGCAATTGCTAATGAAGTGGGGATTTAAATCTCTCCCGTTTCATTAGCATAAAAATGGCTGTCGCTTTTTTTCCGCACGGAGCTTTGTCGGAAAAAAGTGCCAGTCTAGACGCTGATCTTGCGGAAATAAAGGCTTTTCCGAAAGATCCCTTATCCCTCTATGAAATAAGGGATCAGCGTCTGGACTGGCGCTTTTTTCCGACAAAGCTCCATGCGGAAAAAAAGCAGCAGCCATTTTTATGCTAATGGTGTGGGGGAGATTTAAATCCCCACTTCATTAGCAATTGCGATACGTCTAATTTACATCCCTTTTACGAAAAAGGGATGTAGTCTAGACGTATCCTATGTGTTTATTGAAAGCCCAAAGAGTGTGTTAGGGGCATCCATCAGTATTATTTCATACAGCTAAGAACAAATCCAAAATGTATTCATTTGTATATTTGCATATTCATTGTTAGCTTTTTCTTTTGCTGTGTTTATTTCATATTCTACTTTATGTATTCTTTTGAGTTATTTGTTTTTGATTTTCTGTTTCTGATTTTTCCCTTTTTCTCAGAATGTTCTGCTAGTGTATAAATAAATGTAGCAACAATTTCATGCTACCTTTCTTTGTCAGTGGTTACACTGAATAATAGTCATATGTAAATGTGTACCTAAACTTTGATCCATCCTCAAAATCATGCTTTGATTAAATAATACATCAGAAGCATCAGGGTAATTTTACATTCACAAACCTAAAAGCATGGGTAGTGACACTGCAAAGTGTTTTGATAGTCCTCTTAAAAATCATTATGGGTGCGTCTAGACTGCAGGGTTTTTTTTTGGAAAAATGGCCGTTTTTCCGAAAAAAACATCACTTACGTCCGTACTGCTATTGCATTCTTTCGAAAGAAAATTGAAAGAACACAGGGGGTTTTCCGACATTGGTAAACCTCATTCTATAAGGAAGAAAGCCTTTTCTGAGAGAGCTCTTTTGCAAAAAGGTGGGTGTGGACGGGAAAGAGGGAGTTCTTTCAAAAGAAGGGGAAAGAGGAAAAAGCACAGGTGCCCTGGTAGCCACTCCGTCCATAGTAATCACAGCTTAAATGTGAGATAGAGTCCATTCAGTGTGAACGCTATCTTTCAAAAAATCAGATCGCTTTTTCGATGAGCTTTGGCAGTGTGAACGCTCTCTTCTGGAAAAGCTTCTTCTGAAAGAAGACTGCAGTCTAAACTTACCCTATGTTATGGATGGCTCCTCCTATTCAGATGCCTATTACAGAAGAATTTTTCTGTGTACTCCTGAATTCATTTTGCACAACAGAGTATACTAACTGGACTCAGATGTCAAGAAACACAGAAGAGGAGATTATTTTAACAGAACATAACCTGTCCCCTGTGAGCCAGGGGAGGTGCAGTGTACAGGTTGGACCTCCCAGGTCTGGCACACTCAGGACCTGACTGGTCCTGGATCAGGGATTTTGCCATACCAGGGGAGGTTATTTCTGGTCCCCTGACACCAGCCCCCTACAACTCTGGCCTGATTACTGGCCCCCCAGCTAGATCCCCCTCTCAATGGTATCTGCTGTCTTGTCAGCCCCTGCTGCAGCACCTAACAGCCCCATTGCCTCTATGCGCACTGGGCTCCTGCTGCAGCTCCTGGCAGTCCCACTGCCTCTATGGATGCTGGGCTCCTGCTGACCTACTGGGTGGCCCCACTACTGTGCGTGGGGCTCCCACTGCCGCACATCAGTCTCCCACTGACCTGCCAGCTGCTAGGGCTCCCATGCTCTAGCTCTCCACCAGGACTCTCTTGTCCTGGAAAATCCGGGGTCCTTCCCACAACTAGCTAGTTCTCCCTTAGCTCTAGTGGTAGAGGGTTTTGCTTTAAAATTAGCTCTGTTCATTGGTGCTAGTTGATGATGATGATTTTGAGGGAATACATTACTTGTTTTTCCAGATCATCATCGTCATCCACAACCCTGGGCTCAACCCCCATTGGTGTCCGATGCCTCCCTCGCTATTTCCTTCCAACTTTCCCTGTCCAGTGCGGAGCGGCTGTAGACTAGCTCTGCACCAATCTATATCATCTGCCCATTCTCTGTGGGGTCTGCCTCTCCTATTTGGACCATCCATTATGCTGAATGCCAGGGTCTTAACTTTTTGCTCGTCATTCATTCTACAGATATGCCCGAATAGCTGTAACTTCCGTTGTATAACCTTCTGCAGGAAATTCTCTTTTGGCTGTATCATCCTATATAATTCCTCGTTGTTGACCTTCTGCATCCCTCTTATTCTCAGGATCTTTCTATAATAACTCCTCTCGAATGCCAATATGTCCTTCTCCTCAAATCTTTCGTTATATCACCCATGTCTCACATCCATATAACATGCTGCTAAATACATGTTTTCAAGATGCTCAGCTTCATTTCTAAGCTAATCGCTTTACTTTTCCAGATCTTATCTATTGCCTTCAAACTCACTCTTGCTTTTGCTATTCTAGTCACTATTTCCTTCTTACAGTCTAGATCATACGTCATGTTGCTACCCAAAGACGTGAGCTTCTCTGTGTTCTCTAGTTAGATCCCATCTATACTGATCTTCCTTCCTATTTCCTTATCTCCAAATACCATTGTCTTTGTTTTATCGATATTCTTAATAAGTCCATACCACTTCCTTTCCTCATTTAGCTCCTGCACCGTTTTCACTAGCTTCTCTTCATCTTCCTCAATGATAACTATATCATCCGTGAACCTCAAGTTGTTAATTCTCATCCTGTGCACCGATATCCCTTCTACCTCTTCCTTGATCTTGTCCATCGCTCTCTCTAGGTGTGTCATGAAGATACTCTGTGATATCGGATTTCCTTGTCTCGTACCTCTACTTGTTCTAAACCAACTTCCGAACTCTCTGCACGTTCTCACCACTGCCTCCGAGTTGCAATTCATAATTAAGCTTTGGGTAATACACAGTGTATAGGCTTTTAACCTTTTTTCCTGATTGTTATTTGCCTTTGATCAAATAAACAATACATGGGTTTGGAAGAAGCAGCAGTTTTGAATAATTTTAATCAGCCACTGGTCTCATGCTCCTGGAGGGAAGTTTCTTGTAGGTACCAAACAGAGCTTTCCCTGAAATGCCAACATGGTTGGGAAATGGGGATTTGCAACCCAGAGGACCTGGCTGAATTGCAGGGTTCCACCCTTGAGAGTGGTGAAGCCTGCTACTTGACGGGTATGCCGGAAAGGGGTCCAAAGCACAGCTCATCTGGTATCTGTAACAGCTTCTATCCTATATTGTATAATGTGATTTTCAAATTTTAGTTAAAGAAAATTGCATCTGCATAGCAGTTTCGTATGAAAGAAGGACTTTGTGAAGATCCAGTTTGAACCTGTAATTAACTCATTAATGACACCTACAAACGGGCACATCTTTATTTTTTCATTTGTATTTATTACATAACATTTGGTACAAAGGAAAAACATTTTACAGAACATTAACCACAGGTCACCTGGTTTATACTCCAACACAAAAAAAATTAAGATGGAGCGAAGTTTTTAAAAAGCTTTACAGACAACTTACACTTTTAAAAGATTTGGACATTCAAAGTTAAACATTACTTTGCTTTAAAGTGACAAGATTTCTGCTAATCATGGAAAATCAAAGTTAGGACAACCCAAAAAAATGTACTCTTGCCTATCATTAGTCTTCCATCTTCCCTACTGGTGTTATGCAATCCCTGTTTTCTGTAGGCAAGGCCTAGTGAAACCCTGCTCACAATGGACAAGGTTTCATGAGAATGGTCTTACTGGGTCAGACCAAATGTCCATGACCAGACAGTGGTCAATGCCAGATGCCCTAGAGGGCATGAACAGAATAGGTAATCATCAAGTGATCCATCCCCTGTTGTCCACTCCCAGCTTTTGGCAAACAGAAACTCAAGGACACCATACTCAGCCATCCTGGCTAATACCTATTGATGAACCTATCGTCCATGAATTTACCTAGTTCTTTTTTTCTTTTGCTGAGGGAAGCTCTGTCACTAGAGCAGAATTTTCCTGTGCCCAGCAGGAAATCTTGCCCACATTTGGTGGGAGTTTCCCCTAAGTAGAGGAAAACTTCAACCCTTGGGAGATAAGGCTAGGTCCTATATACAAAGGGTAGTGCTGGAGCACAGCTCCCTTTATTTGATAAAGACCCTAATCATGGAAGGGGAGCAAGGGGT